CCCTAGATGTTGCTTGAAAACTGAGGCCCGGTTCATTTTAGTGTGTGCACTTTACAAAGACGCCACCGGTGTGCTGGGTTTCCCTTGCTGGGCCCCTGGGAGATGTAGACTCGGGAAACATTCTGCTGCGAGCCTGTGGGAGCCAGAGGAGTCCCAAGCTTAGTGTGTTTCCCAGGGAGCAAGCTGCAAGGCGAGGGCAATAGCAAAGGCAGGTGTGCCGAGGAGAGGTCACTGTGAGTGTACGGAAGTGTGACTTTGTTCTGTCATTGACCTTCTGTGTGACCTTGGGTGGGCGCCACCCATGTTGTCTGGACATTCTTTCATCGTTTCTGCAGCCCCCACCCCCACCCCGCTGGTGTCCCTGGTACTACGGTCCTTCTTCCCTCAGGTTTGCAAAGCCTGGGAAAGGGTTGGGGTTGAGATGGAGGTTTTACTCCCGTTTCAGCTCAGGGTTGCTGAGTGACTTAGTCTCTGCATGTGACAGCTGGTGAATAAGACTCTCCCGAGGGCTCTGTCTGGATCTGACCATGGACAGCAAGTGAGTGACAAGCCATCTCCTGCCCGCTCTGGGCTGACATGGCAGCCAAGGATGCTGTTAATTTTGCTGTTTACAGAAAGAAGTCCAGTGTAAGTGGAGGTTTTTTTTTGGTGTTTAAAGCCAGATGGTATTTCCTGCCTTGATCAGCCTCAGAGCTTTGGTTCCCATGGCAACCCTGAAGTTCCACCTACTGCAACTTCCTCATTCTCCAGGCTCCTTCCTCTTCCACCATAGTGTCAGGGGCCCAGGAGAATAAAGCCATCAGCTAGTGTGGTGCATCGAACTTCACAGCTGACACCACACTCCAGCGTTTATGACCTCACTTCTGACTGCAGCCTTGTCACAGAGCATCTTCTGCGTTCTCTCTGCTGCGCGCAGGGAAACCCAGGCTCCGGAGACAGACGACCTGCTGCACTTGCCCTCAGGGTGTCAGCATGACTCCAACCATGCCTGATGCCTCTGGACCTTTGGTGGGATGAGCATGCCCTCTTGACCTCCGCTGTGCTTTCAATCCCTCAGTTCCTAAGTGGCCGGTTTTGTCTGTAAATTGGGCTAAAATCAAGGTGTGGCATCTTTACCAAGTTAACTTCTCTAGACCTCACTTGACCTGCAAAATGGTAATAATGGCACCTCTGAAAGGGTGGGGAGATCACATGTGGACACATACATACCACGGTATATAGCAACTGGATTTGAAGAAGACCTAAGATCGACCGTAATCACCCCCAAGACACTGGGTGGATTATCCTGCTTGTGGAACCTGATTCATGGAAGTCTGAGAGGTGTCCAACTTGACACTTAAGCGTGTACTGTCATCTACAGACGTGTTGGGCACACAGCTCTGTGATGCAGCTTTGCAGACTGCAGGTTGGACATGCCTGTAACAGCATACAGTGCTTCTTTGCTGTGCAAAGAGCAGTGCACACCTTCTCAAGATGCAATGGCCATGCACATTCCTGACAACCTTGTAGGGGTTTCACCTATGAATGACCTGGGGAATAGACCCTACTTTAAGTAGCAGGACTGTAGCTTACAAGCACTGTGCCAGTGTTCTGAATGGTTCATTGTGCAGAGAGGCATGGCCATATCTAGAGAAAACTCCAGAAGCTTCGGGGCTCTAGAAGTGTGGGCAGGAGCCGGTGTGGAGTAGTCCTCCAGGTATAAGATTGTTAGCAGGGCTCATGAGGCTGCTACCTACATTAAGCACATCCCAAGACCCCACGGGGCTTTGGCAGCAATTGTGCCTGACCTTGGGACACTCAGTAGAGGATGGGAAGATGTGAACAGGTGTCTCTTGCATGACAAAATTACACTCATTGATAATGACTTGGCCACATCTTTTGAACAAAATTTACTTTTTAGAAAGTCATCCTTTCTCAGGGATGCCAAAGGACACATTTAAGCTCATGACAGAAGGGGGTCGAAGAGGAACTGACAGTCTGCACCTGGTCTTGCTCTTTCTGCCAGTTTTCTTTGCTCTGTATTCTGTATGACTGTGGTTTACAAACTGAATTATGTGCATTAAGTTAATTGCTATCCAATTAACAAATATTTTCTATTCATTCTTGCAATCAGTCTGGCTGGTACATCTCATAACCAGCTCTTCTGTCTGTCCCCAGCTCTGCGGTGGTCAATGTGGCGGTGCCAAGTGGCTGATGAGTGGTTGATCCCCGCATGACAGACAGAAATAAAACAATGACCAGGAGCTCGGGTGCCAGGAATGCTTTCCTTGTGGTGAGCCCTCAGACTGCCGGCCGACTAAGCTCCACGCCTGCCCCCTTGAGCCAGGACTGTCATTATTCTAGAGGATGACGAGCAAGGCAAGGGCTTGGCTTGGCTCCTGGGGCTTCCCCAGCGCCTGGTGATGCTCAGACCTCAGCAGACGAGCCTGCGTCCCAGCTCCCACGATCCCTAAGGACACGGTAAAGTCAGCTTACCCAATAATTCATTCACAGAGCCCTCTGCCTCTGGGCCCTTACCACTGGTCCCCCATGCTGCATGACCCTTACCCTCCTTATTCTATGTGGGTTTCGAGAGGCAGACTCTACTAGTGTAGGATGGCTGTTCGGTCTAGCTTTATGTCAACTTGATACAACTAGAGTCATCTGAGAGGAGGGAATCTCAACTGAGAAATTCCTCCAGAAGATGGGGCTGTAAGCAGACAAGCCTAATAAGGCGTTTTCTTAGTGACTGATGGTGCCATCCCTGGCCTGGTGGTCCTGGGTTCTGTAAGAAAGCAGCCGAATAAGCCTTGAGGGACAAGGCAGTAAGGAACACCCTCCGAGGTCTCTGCAGAAGTCCCTGCCTCCAGGTTCCTGCTCTGACTTCCTTCAGTGATGGGTTACGTTGAGGAAGTGGAAGCCAAATAAGCTTTCTTCCTCAAGTTTCTGTGGCCATGGTGTTTCAGCACAGTAGTGACCCTCATTAAGACACTGGCCCCCAGCCTTTGACTTGCAGGCAGGGAAGTGGGGCTGGGCGACAGGAAACAGAGGGGACTGAAAAGCATGTGAGGGACTATGGAGTCCCCAGGCTGGGTGACTATGCCTGTGACAAGCTCTGAGGCCCACAAGTGAGTTAGTTAAGAACTGGAGAAGTGAGAGGGGGTGGAGCATGGTGACTCTACCCTAGGGGACATCCCCACCTCAGGAAGGGGACTTATCGCCGGTTCTGAAGCATTTGCTGTGCAGGCCTTTGAGGACACTAGTTCGAGGGTCTCAGTACACCTAGGCCCTTCTGAAAAGTGGGCTACGTACGTGAGAGATAACAGCCCAGATCACGCACAGAGGACCGAGCAGAGGTGAACGAGACTGACTTGAAGGGTGGAAGGCCACTGGACAACAGGGCTGGGATTCCCATCTACGGGCACAGAAGTCGAAAGCAAAACTCCCCACGGGAACCGGAGGTCTAGGACACAGCAGCAGGCACAACGCTGCACTCCCGTGGCCTCTAAGGAAAACCCTCTGTCAGCGCTCCGTTCCCACTCCAGCCTGACCAGCTTTCTACCGCTGTGGTGCTGTGGAGACACGGTGGTCTTCCCTCTGGTTCTTCCCTGGGTGACAGTCTCAGGTTCATTAATTGGCATTCACCTGGGGAGGGACCACACACATTAGGCTGTCCTGTGGGTATGCTTGCGAGCCGTGTTCTCAGGTCACTGACCTGGGAAGACCCACACTGAATGTGGGTGGAGCTGCTCTGTAAGTTCAGCCTTGGGCAATGAAAAGGAGAGCTGAGCACATGTCCTGGCTCTGCTGACTACAGTTGTGACCACCTCCCTCAAACTCCGCCTCCACGGCCCCCCTGCCAAGGACTGTGACAAGGAACAGTGACCCCGGTGAAACCTTGCCTCCTCCACATGCGTTCCTCAGCAGCAACACAAGAGCCGAAGCAAGGGCACCTCCACCTCGCGCGTTGCGATGGTGAGGTCTCTTTTCAACACGATTTCCAGTCCTTTCAGAAATGTGCTGAGGAGGGAACCTCTGGGTTAGTTATACGGTGCGTTTATACTTTCAGGTTCTGGGCTCGATTCCCGGGCCTTGCAAACCTAGAGGCAAGCACCCAACCAAGGACATTCTTCCCAGTCTGTTTGGATGGACGCTGTTTTACTTATTGAAGGCTCTCTCCTGCTTCCTAGTTTTTCAAGGTTATGGGGTCGGGGGATAAGACCTCAAAAGGGTCCCAGGAGTGTTTTTTGAGATTTGGATTTCAGAAGTAAAACTGAAGCTATCATCACGGTACCCTCTTCCCAAAGCAGGGGGTCACTTACTAGGGTCAAGGCTAATGTGTCAACTGGAGACTTGGTGTCAGGGTAATTTGCTAAATGGGCACCTTTTCCTGTCACCTCTACACGTTACTGACAATGGGAATCACCCGCCAGCCCATCCTCCACTAGTCAGAATCCCCCTCTTAGCTGAGCACACAGGGAACGTGTGTGTCTACCTGGGGGATACTCCTTCCCTGAGTGTTCTTTCTCACGGGGAGCTGCCCTGTCCACAGGCTCCCCCGCCCCCACACACCCAGACATCACCTCCTGCTTGCCTATGCTCCGGGTGGTTGAGGCACCGAGACCAGGGCTGAGGCACAATTCTTTGCAGAAACAAGCAGAACCTCCAAGCTTATTTACAGCACTTTGCACCCCTTCCCCACTGAAAAACTACAAGGAGGAAATGACAACGTGTCATCTGTTTGGTGGCTGGCTGGGTTACTCATTGCTGACAGGCAGCCAGACATCAGGAAGATGGGCTCTGAGGTGAGACCTGCATTCAAACCTGTGTCCCTCGTTAGCTGGGTGTGACCTGCAGAAAGCTGGTTGCTACCGGTGTGTCACAGCCACCAAACTGGCAGGAATGAAAGCTTCCGGCTGCCTCAAAAGGTGACCGTGGAGATGGGGCAAGGGGCACACAAACGCCCGGCACAGGAGGGAACCCCAGCAGCGTGCCACGCCCTAAAGAACACGAAGACAGGAGACACATCTCCATTTTTAATATATGCTGCTTGGCAAGCAAACATCTTCCCAAGAATCAAGTCTCTGTGTGGAAACGATGTGAGTCTGGTATGAAGAAAATGGAAACCAGCTGCAGGGCTGAACCCAAATAGAACCGTGATCTCCAACCATCGGCTGCAGCCACCCCAGTGTGGCTTGGGACAAAGTCACAGCCCAGCCCTGCCACCAGGGCATCCTGATGAAGACGGCTGGGGCTGTGTCTACTGGTCTTGTGTGTGGGTGTGGGGGCTCCTGCAGGAACAGGGTCCTGCTTTGGGGGTGACCTGGCTCCTCTTGGGCGGGGCAGGAGTAGCTGGAGACAGGGAAAGGGGACTTGGTGCTCTCTTGTACGGCCTTGCACCCACAGCCCCTCCCAACCTTCACCTCACGGTCCATCTGTCTCTCAGCGCCTCAACCACAGGTGTGTCCACGTCTGCTCCAGGAGAGCAGTGCCCCAACAGCGGGGAGCCTGGCAGTCTTCTGGAGGAAGCCGGAAAGCGAGTGTGGAGCCCCAAGGGTCTTGGCACTTCTTCCCTGGCATCTGCAGAACTTGGTATCAACTTCCTTACGGACAGCATTAGGCCTCCTCACACACTGAATAGGACCCTCTGGTGACTGCCACAGTGGGGTGCTTCACCACACCTTCGGCAGGGGCTCACCTGTGTTGCATCTTTCCTAGAAGGGTGCCAGGTCTTGAAGGCAGCACCTGCTTGGATGTAGAGGTTAGGGTCTATATCTGCAGCCATGTGGCCTCCATCTTGGCCTGAGCATCTTCAGGCCAGTCCAAAGCATCAGCCTGAGGGGCTTCCCAGGCCCCTGCATGCTGCATCAGCTCTGACGGTTTGGCTGGTCAGCCATCTTGCTGCCCACTTGCTGTCCCGGTGAAGAAATAGCCCAGGGGCAGACACAACAGAAGGGCAGGGACTCTCTGCCCAAGCCTCAGTGTCTCAGGGCTCCGGCGCCAGTAGAACCATCAAAACCACAGCTACCTCTTGCCAGACACTGCTTCTTCCGGCCTTACCCATCCAGCCATGGCTGACGTTGTCGTCGTAGATGGGCAGAAGAAGAGGAAGAAGGGGAAGAAACAGATTTAAAGGATGCAACCACCTTCAAGGTTCCTGCCATCTACCCTGCTCCAGGGCAAAGGTTTTGGCACCTTGGGACAGCTGTTCCTTGGTAGCGCCAAAAGGAAACCGAGGCTCGGGAGATGAAGCAGCATTACTTAGTGGACGTGGCCACGCTAGGGCTGGGTCCACTCCACACGCAGCGTCTTTCCAGAGCTCCCACTCACCTCGCAAAGGGGGGACGTAACGGACATAGTCCAGGCAGGGCAGCTGCTGCCACTGACCCAGCTCCCCCACCCCGAGCTGCACCATGTCTACACCTGCCCTAAGAACCTGCTCCTGTCCTCTGGAACAACCCGGTGGAGCCCGAGATCTCACTGACGGCTGAGTCCTTGGGTCACCGCACACGCTACCGCACATCCTGACATGACTCCCACCGACTTCGCTGTGGTCTCAGAGAGATGTGGGTCTCGGCAGATGCTCAATAAACGTCCCAAGAATGCAAGGATAAAAAAGGAAACTTTGTTCTTACAAATTCCGCTGGCCTTCGTGGAATGGTGTGGGGTGGAAAGAGAACATTCCAGTAGGAAGCTGGACAGCAATGCCTCCCACTTTGCAGTGGACAGAAAGCCCACTGACCAGGGTTCCTGCCAGCTGAGTCAGCGAACCCCCTTACGCTGATGCCTACTGACAGGCAGGCCGTGTCTGCAGGGCTACTGAGAACAGAGGTGACTCCTAAGGACTCTGGCTCAGACTGAATGCCTGGCCTTGTCGCTTGCAGCTGCCACTTGTGGGGCTTTCTCAGTGGTGTCCAAGGGGCCCTGGGCTTGCAAGAACACCTTATAAAAGCCATCATGAGAGATGGCACAGGCTCTGTGTCCCCAGGAAGTGGCCTCACTGTAAGGGCAGTCTTCTATCCTGGCTTTGACTAGTGTTTGCGAAACCTTCCTGATACAGAACCTGACCCAGCTTCCACGAACCCTCCTGTCAAAACCTAACGTCTCACTGGACAAGCGTCCCAAGGGGGACACTCTGGGAATTAGCGGAAGTCATACTTCTTGTAGAGGACTAGGGACAACTGTGAGCAGAGAAGGGTCCCCAGAAGAGATGGTGCTGGCCCAGACAGGATGCCAGGACTCTTGCGAGTCGGCACACGGCGTGGGAGGAAAGGCTCAGAACATCCAATGCAGTCAGGAAAGAACAGTGTCACCGGAGCCCGGCTCACACCAACCCTGCTGTGCAGCCCCCAGGTGAGGTCCCCGGGTCCTGCTCTGCAGAAGCCAGCTCTAGTGCAGCACCTGCCTCAGGTGAGGTCCCCGGGGCCTGCTCTGCAGAAGCCAGCTCTAATGCAGCACCTGCCTCAGGTGAGGTCCCCAAGGCCTGCTCTGCAGAAGCCAGCTCTAACGCAGCACCCGCCTCAGGCGTTCTACCTGGGAGCCACGACAATCACGGAGGTGTGCAAGATGGGACAACAGCAGGCAGCACATGCGTAGCCTCAGACTCTAATGCTGGGGTTCGAACCTCAGACTCTAATGCTGGGGTTCAAACCTCAGCCAAGGGTAACCTCTGAGGGCACTGGTCATCCACAGCAGCAAGAAGCACTACCGCCTCCAACCCTGGAGGTAGGCAGGACGCAGAGGCCACCTGCTCTGACTTACACTTACAGTTATGTCAGGGCATAACTGGAGGACTGCTTTCTGCCTCCTGGGTCCCCTTCCTCACGTACAGAGTCACGTTAATCAATGTGGGGGACAGATGACCATGCCAAGAAGCGTGGGCACATTAACAGGCACTCAGCAAGCTCGTCCCCTTAGAGCAGTGGTTCCAACTCTTTTCCAAACCTCTCTCTTAAAATATTTACATTATGATTCATACAGTAGCAAAGTTACAGTTGTGAAGTAACAAGGAAATTAATTTCCTGGTTGGGATCACACCACGAGGATCTGCATTAAAGGGCTGCAGCATCAGGAAGGATGAGAACCACTCCTTAAAGGGTAGTTAGTCTACAGGAACTTCATACAGTTCCAGTGAGCAGGGGTCGGGAGGACAATCCACCCCTGGACCCCTGAGCCATCAGAAAACTCGAGGCTCTGACCAACGTTGTAGCCGTGGCCTCTAACAGCCAGGATGGAGGCACAGGTAAAAGATGGCCCAGCACAGCTCATAGGAATGATCTGACTTCCGAGGAAACTTCTGTCTACCTGGTGTCTCCTGAGGACTCAAGCACCTCTCTCTTACCACAGCCCTGGCCAGCTGTGCGGCTGACCCCTATCCCTGGCCCCAAGTCCACAGCCCGGAACTGACTCTTTCCTGCTGCTGCGGAGGCTGGGATGGCCTGCTCACGGGTTTCCCTGGCCATCAAGATTTCCCAGACAAACTCCAGCTTCCCTCTCATGCCCAGAACCCAGCACTGAATAGGAAGAGTGGGTTGGAAGGCAGCCTCTCTGTATAGCTCTGGCTGTTCTGAAATTTGTTCTGTAGACCAGGCAGGCCTTGAACTCTTAGAGATCTGTCTTCTCTGTCTCCCAGGTGCTGGGGGTAAAGCCCCAAGTCCCTATCACAAGGCAGTACCTTAGTCTCTTGCTGTGTGCCAGCGCAGAAAGCTGTATCCGACTCTGGACCGTGTCATCGGGCCCAGAGCCTCATTTTCCCAGCTCTCCACCCTGTAGGTGGGGACGGCAAAGGCCACAGAGGAGGAGGGAGCCACACAGTGGTTGAGAGCCTTTGCAACAGAGAAAAGCATCTGTCCGCCGACCGTGCTGCTTATATGCAGTAGCTGCAGCAAAGGGTCACACAGCACGGAAGAACATGGGTGCATGCAGGGACACCAAGAAAGGCCTAGACTGGATGGCTGGAACCCCCAGGAATGAGAGAAGCTATTGTCTGTCCTGTAACAAGTGGTCTCATGTAGCCAAGGCTGGCCACAAGCTCGCTACAGAGCCAAAGAGTGCTTTCAACTTCTGATCCTCCCGCCTCCCGTGTGCTAAGATTACTGGCATGCATCACCACATCATTTACGTGGAGCTGGGATTGAACCTGAGTCTCTATGCATGCTAGACAAGCACTCTACCAACTAAGCCTCATTCCCAGCTACAGATGGAGGTTTTACAGCAAGATGTAGCAGGCAGGGCTTACCTTCCACCAAAATGTTCACTCCCCTATCTGTGGTTAGTGTTGCTTAAGCTACTGCAGGAACTACATTTCCCAGGCTGCTTTGCATTCAGGTAGAGTCATGTGATAACTGGGGGTGGGCAATGAAGCATGAGCAAAGGCATTTAGGAAGAAACTGTGTCTGTCATTCCATTCTCCCTTTCTGCCCGCCAGAAGCAAAGACTTTAAAAGTCCTGGGGATGGTAAGTCACCAGCGGTAAAGAGGGGGTTCCTGAATCACTGTGGGAACCCCGCTACCAACCAGGAACACCCAAAAGGAATTCTGGGAGAGGTTGAGTCTCTGCACACAGGACTCCTGTGGGCTGTTCTGGTGGAGAGGACAGTGAACGGGCCAAGGCATAAAGTGGCGGTTTGGGGCAGCAGCCTGGGCCCTGGCTGTGTGAAGGGTTACTGAAGCTCAGGGCGCTCACATGGACGGTCACAGCAAAGAGACTCACGCACAGGGACCGTTGCCAGGGGCCCTGGTGTTGCTGGCGCTGCTCTCAAAGGAAGAGTGGAAGTTGTGGATGGTTTCCTGAAGAATCTGCCTCTCACGCCCCTGTGGACAGAACAGAGACACACGCAGAGGTCCTGGTAGATCTGTGGTTGTTCGTTCAACAGTCTGTGGTTGAGGCTCAGTGCACACTTGAAGACCCTGAGTTTCCTGGAGAAAACAACTACCTAATTGCCAGAGTATCAAGCTCAGGGAAACCAGACTGAGTCGGAGGCTCCCAGTGCCCACAGTGACGGTTGCTGAAGGGAGACCCAGGGTGCAGGGGTCTTGTCTCTAGCTGAGGTATGACTGGGGGACCTACCTGGCTCACGGGGAGGGTTCCTCAGGTGCCCAACTCCAGGAGTGGGATGGGATCCCTATGACAAAGTCCCTAGCCCCCAATTTTGATGTGGGGAAAGGCAGAGGTGGCTGTTCCCCAGGTCTAGGAGAGGCCCCTCCCCCAGGGCCCCGGTGAGAAGCAGTAGCAGACGCACACAGGTTAAACATGGACTAAAACCCAGTAGCCCGGGTTCAAATCCCAGTTGTCCCGTTCACCTCTCCGCCTCTCTGGGCTTTATCATCAGTAAGTGGGGCAAGGGTAGAAGCTCAGCAGGTTGCATCATGGGACTCTGCGTGGCAGCAGGAGGTCCTGACCAGGGGACAGCACTGTATGCTCTAAATTAGGAGTAGATGTGGTCAAAACTTAAAGCAAGTTACAAGCGCATTATCAGCTAGACATGGTGGTGCACACCTTTAATCCCAGCACTTGTGAGGCAGAAGCAGGAGGATCTTTGTGAGTTCAAGGGCAACCTGGTCTATAGAGCGAGTCCCAGTATAGCCAGTGCTACATAGTAAGTCCCCGTCTAAAAAGGGAGGGGCATCATCTCTAGCAGGCTGGCATCTGTGAAACTGCCCACGGATGAGGCCAGGTTTCAAGGGTTCTTTTCTTATATTTCGTGAATTTCTACCGGCTACAGATTCCAGATGCCAGTGTGGGGACCTCCTGTACTGACAGGATAATGAGAACTGCCCTTTATGCCAGCCACGCAGATGCCCTTAAAAACTGTTAGTATTGGCAGGGGTGTGTGGCACCCCTGAAGGCTGCAGAGTAAGGGCTAAGAACCAGATGTGAGTAAAGGAAGCAGAAGCAAGACTCCACCTGTGACAAGTGGTGGCATCCAGAGCTGGCCTCGTTCCCCTGAGCAGTATCTGTAAAATGGGTTAATGCAACCTGCCACCTTGCAGGGGACATGTGATCTGATTTTAGCCTGAACTCCCTGATGAAGGTCGGGGATATCCAGCCCCAGAGTTCTGTCTCCTCACCTCAAGAGGACACCAGATAGTGAAACCATCATCACCAGGATGGCAGCGACAAACACCCTCTGGTCTGCCTGAACATCCCAGAAGGAAAGCAAATGTCTGGTACTGGTAGGCAATAGCTCTGATCCCTCTATAGTTGCTCAAGAAATGTAAATTCAAACGTAGACATCTATCCTGAGGACATTGGGAAGCCTTCATACAGAGCTATCTGCTGCATCCACAAGTGGGCAGTCATATAGCAACAACCGTGGATTTAAAAAAAAATTTTAGTAAATCTATGTAAATTTATATCAGTAAGAATTCTGCAGGGCATAGGGACATATTCCTGTCAGCCTAGCACTCAGCAGGCTGAAGCGGGAGGACCCTAAATTCAAGGTCAACTTGGATTTTATAGCAAGGCTCTATCAAAAAAACAAAACCAAAAACAACAACACCAAAAGCAAAACAAAACAACCAAGAGCATCCTTAGCAACCTGGGTAACTGTATAGATTTCATAATAAACAAAGAAAACAGGATATAAAATCATAGATCCAAATGTAGATCAGTCATGTTTAAAAAAAAAAAGCCAAGAGACACGACAACACTGCAGAATAATTTGCCCCAAAGTGAACACTGCTATTCTCTGAGTGGCTGGATCATGATTGCTTACAAAAATCCTATCATTTTTGAAGTATACAAATTTATTTTAAAAAATCGCAGCCTGCTTCTGCCTCCTAAGTGCTGGGATTAAAGGCGTGTGCCACCACCACCAGGCACAGTAAGAATTCTGCAGCCTGGTCTACAGAGTGAGTTCCAGGACATCTAAGGCTACACAGAGAAAGCCTGTCTCAAAAACAAACAAATAAACAAAACAAAACAAAAAAATCACCACAAAAGGGGGAACCCAAAGAATCGAGCACTTAGAACCCGGAAGGGCAAGACTGAGAGCATGGTCTCTGCTGAGCCTTCCACACCCCCCAGTCCCTGGGGGGTCCATGCACCTGGCAGCAGACTCAAGTTCATGCTCACTGCGGTGACCTGCAGACACGGGTCTACGTCACTTTACTAAGTGGTGTTGTTAGGCTGACAACACACCTAACACACGTATGCCTTGCTCGAGGCTGCCTGAACTCATCAAGCGGGTGAGGGTGACCTCAACTTGCTTTTTTTTTTTTTCACTCAGGGTCTCCTGCATCGATGGCTGGCCTTGGACTTGCCCCCTGGATGAGGATGGCCTTGACCTTTTGGTCCTCTGGCCTCTACCTACTGAGTGTTGGTGTCAGGAGTGTGCGCCACCACACCCTGATTTACGTAGTGCAGAGAGTCAAAGTCAGGACTTCATGAGTGCTGGGTAGGCACTCCAGAAACTCAACATCTATCCTTGGCCATCACTTAGAAACAAAAACGTTTAGGTTGTAACGCTCAAGCATTTCTTGGAGTGTTTTCTATCAGGATACATACCAGAAACAAATCACCATTCCTCCATGCAAAGCCCAGTGATGGTCCCATTGCACTGCATTTTTAAAAAGTGCTTCTCCAGGGACTGGAGAGATGACTCAGCAGTTAGAGCCCTGAATGCTTTTCCAGATGACCCTGGTTAGATTCCCAGCATCCCCAAGGCAGCTTAAAAGTCTTTAACTCCTGTCTCAGTAATCTGATGCCCTCTTCTGGCATCCTTGGGTACTGCATGCATGTGGTGCACAGGTATTCATGCAGGCAAAACATTCACTCATGAAAATTATTCTTAAAAAATAAATACAGTATCCTTTTAGGCCCACTCAGTTGATTCTCCACCTCCCCCAGTATGCTTTGGACCTGGGAGCAAGAAGCTTAGGCCTCTCTTGCACTTCAGAGATTCAGTCTACAGTAGGTATCCTCTTGACTGAGCTGTGTCAAGAGACAAGCCTGATTGTCAAAACAAGTTCACACTCAGCCTCAGGGTGGAGCTGGAGCCTCCAAATAGAGTCGGTCAGGGCCAGCCCTGAGCAGCGAGGTCCAGCGCTGCAGGCCGGGACCTGAGACCTGCATCTGGCTCCAGGAGACACGCTCCAGCCTCGACGTCACGCCCAGAACCAGGGCGAGAGGGGAGGGCAGCTGAAGACACACTCTCATGCTAAATTTCTCCCATTGTGCTGTCCTCTAGGACACTGTGGCACTGCCCCCATCCCAGGGGACTGTGCCCGGGACCATTCATCCCTGGGGCAGCAGGGTCTTCCTCGGGCAGTGACTCAGGATGGCGGCTGCTGCCATGAGATCACCTAGCTTGGCAGACGTGGGCTTTAAGCGGGAAGATAAAAAGAGGTGCTCTTGGCCCAGCATCTCAGGTAGGGCTCTCCTTGTGGAAGCTCCGAGGATTGCCCAGCTAACCCTTCGGCTTGTAATGGAACCCACCTCATAACAGAAGGCGGGGCCCATGCTAACCAGGGAGCAGGAAGCTGTCAACACTAGAGAAAACAAAGGTTCCGTTCTGCAGCTGTGAGAAATGCCCGTGGGGTGCTGGTGGCTATCCTTTCACCAACTGTTGAGCCGGTCACCTTTCCTGAGGCCATACACCTGCCTATCTGTCTCCCTGGCCGAGGAGGAGCCCGCAGCTACGCAGGGAGGAGGAGGTCACGGGGGTGTTAACCACTGGCATCTCCATGCCACCTCCTGTAGTGCCTGCCCCTGCCTGCCCTCACCACCTCTGGGTCTCTCCCTGAACTTGTCACTGGCTTCCAGCTGTCCTTTCTTTGGCCACATGTCCACCCTGGAGGCTAGGAGGAAGGTAGGAACCCCAGCCCCTGCCACACTCTGCCCTTTTTCGAGATCCTGCCATCCCTCACGTGGGTCAGCCCACCATCCCAGCCTTTGCCTCTGTCCCCTGGCTTCCCCCGTGTTTAGGGAAACGTGTTCCCCTTGGCCTCGTCTATTTCTGCCTTCAACTCCCTTACCCAGTGCCTCCCATCAGGTCTGCCCCCTTCTCCTCTTCCTCAGGGTCTCCCCAGGCCAGGTCCGCCCAGCTCACAGGCTACAGAAAGGACGCCTGCCCTCCTCCTCCGTGTGTGCCTGTGGTTTAGCGACACCGCTGAGACATGGTCACACCAAGTTCAGGCCAGTCTGCCTCTTACCGTGTGACCCCGCACAAACTCCCCCACTGCTGTGTATGCGTGCGAGCGCATGTGTGCACGTGTGTGTGTGTGTGTGTGTGTAAGTGCGCGCATGTGTGTGTGTGTGTTTCTCAGCACGGTATGGTGTGGTCTCAGTAACACACAGCTCTCAGAACTCACATGGTAGCCAGGACAACACAGATTCTTTTCCATGAGTGAGCCAATGCTTCAAAGCTTTCAGTGAGGGGTTGGCTACCATTGTGGACTAGCCAAAGGCTTCTGCTCCCTAGCTGACACCCTTCCTAACCATGGAGACATGCCTCCAGCCTGCCTCTGCCTCCTCAGTCTCCACATTTGGGAGGGGGACAGGAGCCTTGCTGGTGTTCAGGAAGTCAGGGTCTGCTGCCGGCCTCTGAGCTGGACTCCACTGCCTACCCATTGCCCAGGTGACACACTTTCAGAGACACTAACAGGAAAGACGAGGAAAATGCCAGCCATGCAGTACCTGCATGGTGCTCACTCATGAAGGGCCACCTCCCAGAAGCAACAACAGACATTGGCCCAGGCCCAGTTATACAGCAGAGAGGAAGGTGGGGGAGGGATGTAAAAGCCCTGGGTTCAGATCCTGCCTCAGATGCCAGCGCAGAAGCCAGACACAGTCCAGTCTGGGAGTCTCTACTCCGTATGCAGGCAGCTGTGTAGACTCTGGCCGCTATCAGGGCCAACTAAGACATGTTTGCTGATGACTTGCAGATGGTAAAGGGTGGCATGAACATTTCTTTGCTGTGGGCACTGCTCATCTACTCCCTGCTGCAGAGAATGCTCCCCAGGGCAGAGAAGGAACCAGAAGCCCACGCTCTGGCCTCCTTCACATAGCCCAGCACAGCCTGGAAAAGGCCAAGGCATCGAGGAAAAGGCAGAGCCCACACTGCCTGACACACTCCACTGCTCCACAAGAAGCAAGGAAAACAGCAGGTAAGCAGGCATCGTAGCTGCTGAGCCAGCACCGGGCGGGAAAGGGGCAGAGGGGGCAGGCGACAGCCTGCCAGCAGCCACAGCTAGTGTTTGCACGGTGTGTGCCTGGGGCGTCAGGCATGAACGTGGGACACAGTACAGGTGACATGTGACAGCTTTGGGTGTCAGGGGCTCTGCTAGGTCCCTTAGCTCAAGCCACAGCCCTAGTCCCCATTCTGTGGACAGGACAGGGAAGGGAGGCCGTGTCCTGAGATTGCACCCACAGCTAGTCTGATCCCACAGTGCTGTCCTGCTGAAGCCACCCAAGGAAGTCTGTATGTAAACCATACAGGGGCTGCAGCCTCGTGGGGAGGAAGCATCCGCGAAGGGATCGGGCTGCGTGGGGAAGTAGTG